ATCCAGATCCCTGATCCCACTACACACAAGCAAGCACACTCTTCTACACACATGAGTACGTGCACCCAGTGCATACTCTTGTCTCATGCACATGAAGATCCACACTGCTCATGCCCAAGTGGCCTCACAGCACACACAAAACTTGCATTCATAAAGTGCACACAGCTACACATATCCACTGGCACAGAGCCAAGCCATGCTCTCCTTTCTAGATCAAGAATAATCTTGGGGGGAGGTGGGTAAGGGCTTTTGAACTTCTGACTCCAGTGGTCTCCCAGCAGTCTGGGCTCTCCTCAAAGGGCACTGTGGCAGATCTGGGGCACTTTTCTTCCGGGAGCTGTTCATCTCAGGCTCATCACAATACTCTGAAGAAATCACCCAGGAGAGAGAGAAGTCCTCCAGGAAACCTGCTTAAGCCTGTCTAGGGCAGGCCAGCCTTGAGGACATTGGCCACCAGTCTTGTCTTAGTTGCTGGCTCAGAGTAGATTATTCTGGATCAACTGAGCAAAAAGGTGCCCTTGTTAATGCAGTAAAGCAGCCCTGGGGTGAAGACCCAAGTCTCAACCACCCTTCTCCTGAGCACATTTCTATTGCTTTAATTCAACAGATATTTACCAGGCACCAAGTTGAAGGGACACAAAAATGTAAAGCAGGTATCTGTCCCAGGTCTCGTACACGTCTAATACCTGGATGACTTTCGAGCCCCAGAGCGCTAGGTCAGCTTCCAGCTGCTGGTCCTGTTTAACAGTTTTCCACCTCCTGTGTCAGGCAGTGCAATGTGGACAGGGACAGGGCAGTCAAGCTTGGTGAGGAGTGAGGCTGCCATTGCTGGGCTCTCAGGCCATCTGGCTCCAGCTGGCTCTTGGCTGGAGGCTGGATCTTATCAGCATGCCACCCCCTCTGGCCCCAATCAGTGCCCCCCTCCCATTCCTTGCCCCTAATCCCCTCCCTTTTCAAGGAGTCTGGTTCCTCTAGTGCGATGAACTGTTTCTTTAACCCCTCTGGGGCAGAGAGCCTGGAGGCCAGAGGATTAAAGACATGGATCCATATCCTCTTCCAGAGGGTCTCCAGGCTCTTCCATGGCTGGGGATCCAAGTGGGAAGAACTAGGGGGAGGGAAATGGGGATCTGATTTTGGGAATCCCCAAGCTCACCTGGTCTCCTGCCTCTGTGTTCTTAACTGCAAAGAATGGGTGCATCTGCATCTTTCTGGGAGAACCAGGAAAGATCTGGAGTCACTAGGGGTCTCAAACATGGTCTTTACCCTGGAATGTCCTGAGCATTAATTTTTACTCATAATAGGGCCAACTATTATGACTTGACCTGAGCCAAACTGGTCCTCGCATAGCTCTTAGATTCCTTTTGATAGGTAAAGTTATCTTACCACTGAAGAAGTCTGACATGACTGGAGGTTAACCATTTCCCCCCAACCATGCTGTCAGGTTATAATGAAAGCCATTCTGCCACCTGCATGGAACGTCTAAGAGACAGACATACGGGAGCAAGCAGTTTCTACCCTGTGTACTGTGAAATCAATGAAGCCCCACCTCTGGGCCTATTGGGTGTCCTGATCACCATTTCTCAGACTGCCAAGATTCCAGAGCTGAGGTCCTTTTAACTTTCTAGCTGGCACCAAGTAAGTAGGAATTCTCTTTGGCAATGGCCAGACATAGGCCAGTTTCTGGATCAAGTCTATGGCACTAACCCTAAAGGTACAGACAGTTGCCTGGCAGGATTCTTATACTCTGTCTAATCGAAAGTAGGGAGTGTCTCTCAATAGCCAATCTATTTTTAATTTCACCCAAGGGAGCTTATTTTAAAGTAAATTAGAGGTTTATTAGTATTCTTTACATTTCTATAATGCTTAACAGATGCATTAGAGAGATGCGTTAGAGTTTTTTGGGGGGGG